TCTAGATGACCTGATCGGTGAAATGATTGTCGGTGTAACTGACGAGCTACCCCAGTAGGACATGAATGATCGTTGCAGATGCACCAATAAGATCTTTTCTAACAATCGATTCTCTATGAAACCACCTACTGCGCACTAACAAACAAAATTCTCCGTAAAATTTTAGTATAAGTCTAATTTCAGTCACAACCCCAACACTAACGTTTGTTTCTATTTAAAAATTCGATTGTTTAATTAGTGCAGATCATCTGATTGGTGCATATTGTCGATCTTTCATGGTATTACTGGGGTAGCTCATTTTACGTACGTACGTACGTACGTTCAGTACCGATCATGAGACAATCCAATAAACCTGTTTTCAACTCAATCAGGACATAATTGTAAATTATGTTTAAATTGAGGGCAAACAAACAATTTTATTGTATTTATCTAAATACGTAGTATGGTCGAAATCCCTTTGGAAGACGAGAGAATTGGACCAGAAAAAAGTGAATACCTTTATCGCTCATCAAAAGCCTATTTTACCTACGGTTGCAATCGAACAACATTTCAAAAAGGTTATTTAGGTTTAAATTCATCGGAAGTGAATGGTGTATTTCATATACGATATCCTGAATTGAAACCATTACGAGCTACAAAGATAGAACTTTGTTTTTCAGGAATAATTCATATGCAATGGTCCGATTACAATGGTTATCATTGCTCTAATAGTAAAGAAATTTGCAAGCAAAGGAAATGTATTTGGAAGACTAATTCCAACTATGAAAACATAACATATTTTGATTATCCATTCAGTTTTGTAATTCCAAATGAGTCACCTTCTTCAATAAATCATATTGGTAAATATAAAGCAAATGGAATGATATATTATACAATGAGTGCGACAATTTATCGAAAAAGAGTCCAAATTTTTCAAAGTTCAAACAAAATTGTTGAAGTTAAAATAGATATTCGACGGTGGCAATTACCAGCATGTCCAGCTTATGAGCCGGAATTATTAATTAAAAAACCCGATTTATTTGAATGTAGAGTATCGATATATAAAACAACATTTGATATTTGTGGTTTTATTAATATACCAATTAATTTTCGATTATTTAAACAAGATGTAACAGTGAAGAAGATTTTTGTGAAATTAGTGGAGTATTTTAAATTAACAACTATGAGATTATATTATAAAGGGTGCTTGGTAAAACAAACAGTGAATGGTAATCAAGTGTTACCTGTACCAAACAGCGAAAATGAGTTTAGCGTGATTGTGAGATTGGATTTATCAAAGGCAAAAAAATTGTGGAATAACGAAGCAGTAATAAATTGCAGTTGTATTACAGAATTATTTGAAGTTTGGCATAAAGTGAAAATTGAGATTTTGATGGGTAAAGCCGGTAAAGTAAAATTTAAAAAGATGGTTGAGCTGTGTAATATCGTCAGTGATGACGCTCTGGAAGGATATATGAATAGTTTAGAACATATATTGTAATAACTTTATATGGTATAGTATTATCAAAGATAATCAAGATTAATTAATATTATTAATATTTATTATATGTATATTTGTTATTAACATATATTTACTAAATTTAGAATATTTAGAATATTTATATTAGCAATTATATATATATATTAATCTAGTCAAATTTGTAAATTTACAATGTTTATGTTTAAAGCTTTTGTTTTTTTAATTTTTATTATGTATAATGGCCACGCAAAGTTAATTTTTCGTTTTGCATAACATGGAATCCGAAATTTTGGGTCGGTCGGTCGGATTTTTTTTTTTTTTTTTTTTTT